AAACAAGGCTGCCTTATCGCTTTTCTTCTTCCCAGACTTCATCTTCTACCCAATAGTCCTCTCATAAAAATAAATGGTAACGTCATAAAGTCTCCCCAAGCAAATAGCAGCCTCTGAATAAACTTCTTGTACCAGTGGAAACTCTGAGGGATAAGCCTTCATTGTAGTTAACTCAAATATAAGAACCAAACAAAGATGGACACGTTTACATTACATTACATTACAGAGTACTTTACGTACGTCGTCTCATTTGATTATCATATAACCCAAGTCAAGATTTGAACCTGATTTTAAGTTCATAAGTTTTATCTGAAACAGTAGTAATTTGTATAGTGCTTTAAGGTTTGCCAAGTACTTTATATATGTTATCTCTTTTGATCCTCACAATAATCCTGTGAGGAAGGGGCTCTTGTTATGCCCCCTTTACAGATGAGAAAATTGGGGTTGAAAGGTTAGGTGATTTGGTCCTGGATCAAGTGTCTGAGGTAGGATTCAAACTCGGGTCTTCTTTCACCCTCTGCACTCTGTGCACCCTATTCATTACAAAAAAAAATTCTACCTTCAGCGAAGGACTAGGAAACATTTTGGGTGGTTGTTTAGATATGGGAGAAAAAAAATCATTAAAAAAATGAAGACTACCCAGCACTTATTCCAAGTGCATACGTGGCATAAGTGGTACTTTATATAGTTCCCCACTGTGATTCCAGTTCCACTTGGACTGGGGGAAGAAAATCCACTTTCAGGAAGGGAACTTGGGATGGCTTCATACATCTTTGGTAACTACAGATGAGAAGGCCACACGGTACCTGTGTTCCTAAACAGGCATTCTGCGGTTTAGTGTAGGGCACCACTACCAATGGAGGAACCTGATCAAGCTTGGCCAAGGTCTGCCAGTTTTACTCTGGAAACCAGGCTTAATTCTCACTAGAATGAGGTTCTCTCTTCCCAGGAGAATGATGATGGACTATGGTTCAGTGTCCACCTAAGCATGGAAAAGCAATCTGGCAGATAAGTACAAGTAGTTAAGTACAAGGAGGTGTAAATTGGGAGGGGGTGCTAGCATTTGAGAAGAGGAGATCAGGAAAAACTTCGTGCTGAAGATGCTGCCTAAGCTGCTTTTTGAAGGCAGAGAGGGAGTGTCATGTGAGCAACCCAGAGAAGGTCAGTTTGGCTGGATCACAGAGTTCAGGAGGAGGCGTGATGTCCATTGAGGCTTAAAAAAAAAGGTTGGAACTAGGTTGTGTCAGGCTTTAAAAGCTAAAGAGGAATTTGTTTTATCCTATAGGTAATAGGATGAAACTGGAATTGGTCAAGTGGAAGAATCATATGATTAGATCAATCCTTTAGGAAAATTACTTTGTCAGCAGTAGGTAGGATATACTAGAGTGATGAGAGATTTGAGGCAGGGAGACCAATTAGGAGTCTGTTGCAGTAATTGGGCAAGAGGTGATGGAGGTCCTGGACTCAGATGGTAGCTGTGTTAATGGCAAGAAGGGGTCAAATGGGAGAGACAATGGAGGGAGAAATGGAAAGATTTGGCAATGTATTAGATATTATGTGGGGTGAGGAAGAATAAGGGGTTGAGAATAATGCCAGTGTTACAAACTGGCAGGACATTGGCAGGATGGTGGTACTTTAGAAACACTGAAGTTGTGAAGAAGGGAAGGTTCAGGGGGAAAGATGATCAATTTTGATTTAGAACTTAAGTTTGAGATATCTTTGGGATGTCCAGTTTGAGATGTCATACTCTATTTTCTCCATTTGCAATGCAGATATTACAAAAGAACAACCTTTTTAAAAATCACATTTATCACATCTGACAGCTCTTTGAAATGTTTCACTCTGAGAACTATTGAAATGGTTATAGAAAACTTCTGTTGGTCAGGACCATCGAAGGAATCTTATAGCTCCCAAACTCCTGAGATGGTCCCTGGGTTCCGAAAGTTCAGTCTTCATGATTGTGGTTTGGTTTATTTGTGCTCAGGAGAAGGAACATCGAGTAAAAGAGGTTTTGAGATTTTTAGGGCTTTGAGATTCAGTGTTAGAGCTATATAGGCTGGTCTATGGGCTTGTTGCTATTTGTGAGCAGAAGCCATAATAAACACTATAGCTCATGGGAAATCCAAGGAAAAATAGTCCGAGCTCCAGAAAAGAAGATAGAGTGAGAGTGGAAATTATTTTTGCCTTTTCCGTTTACTGTTTACAGTAGCCAGTTATCTTTGAGGTAGTTTACCTTCTTAGTGGTAGTAGGTCAAAGCTCATGGGGGGACCAATTAGAATCCTGTGGATGTTAATTTACTTTAGCAAGGGGGCCCCACTAAGGTTTAAGTCCACACAGGGTTGGTGGGATGACCCTTGCAAACACAAGTTTCATGGGGTATGCCAGATCATTCCCATCATCAATATACAGTACCTTAGCCCTGGGAGGGAAGAGGAAGGATAATCTTTGATGTTCCAGGGCCTAGAGAGTAAAGCAAAAATATGGCCTAAGGAGATGGGTCATTTGGTGCTATATGAATACCTTTCTTCATCTATAAAATAAGGGAATTGGATAAGTTACCTTTAAGGTTCTTTCCAAGCACAAATTTCTCTCTCTCTTTCTCCCTCCCAGGCCCGCTCTTGGCCCAGGCCAGGCTACTGATTTCAGCTCTGCTGATGACTACTTTTGTGGCATTGGCAAGTTAATTAACCTCTCTCTGTAAAATGAGACAGATGAACTAGTTGGCAAATCCCTTTCAGTTTTAAATCTAAGGTTCTATTTCCTTAGTATGGGGGAACTCCTGGTATAAAAACCTCTTCCACGTCTTCATATCAGCAATTGGTTTTAGGAAGTTACTTTGGGCCTATGGTCATATAGTCAGTCAGTCAATAAGCATTTATTAAGTGACCAGGAGGCCAAGGCCGGGCCAACTATGCGTCAGGCACTGTGCCAAGTACCAGGAAAACAGTCCTTGACAGCCTGATGGTGGAGACAGCATGAAAATAATAGTCTACAAACAATATATATGGGGGTACATACATTATGAGAGCATATAGGGGGTTAATTAGAAATAATCAACAGAGGACAGGGACTGGTATTAAGAGGGATCAAGAAAGACTTTTTGCAGAAGATAAGATTTTAGTTGAAACTTGGAAGCCAGGAAAGCCAGGAGATAAGAGGGAATGAATCGCAGGCATGAGGATAGCCAGTGGAAATGTCTGGAGCTGGCAGGTGGAATGTCTGGTCTGAGCACTGAAATTCAGAGGATATTTGAGAGCGCATGATGTAAAATGATTGGAAAGGTAGGAGGAGGGGATGTTTGTGAAAGGCTTTGAATGCCAAGCAGAGGATTTTATATTTGATCCTGGAGGTGAGGACCACTTAACTGAATAGGGGGTGGATTCGGTCAGAGGAGCTTTAGGAAGATCACAGTCAGTATATGTCCAGAATGCTTGAATTGAATTCAGATTATTTTGCCTAAGGTCAGTTCTCATTTCCCCTCTAAACCTATTATCTTACTCTACATAGTCTCCCTTCTCTTTCCCAAATACTCATTTTCAGTTCAGCCAGGGCAGTAGGAAGAACTAATAACAATAATAATAATTTACATATTGCTTCACAACCATCCTGTGAGTTATATAAATATAAATAAGTTATATAAATATGATGTTTATTTCCATTTTATCAGGAAGGAAATGGAGGCAAGGCAGATTAAGAGATTTGCCCAAAGTCACATAGGTAGTAAATGCTGAAGCCTAATGGAACTTGGAGTCTTCTAAGTCAAAGACATTTTGATGTTCAAGGCAGGAGCTAAGAGTTTAATTTCAAAGACTTTTGAAATGCTCAATTATAAAATTTTCTTTGTTGATGAGGGCTTAGTGCATCAAGAAAGTGGGTCTTTTATGTAACTGAATGAATGTTTTGAAAACATTCTTTACACACACACACACAGACAACACAGAAGCTAGAAGATACATATTCCCATTCTGATGACAATTACCCTCAGGAAATTAAAACCATCTTTAGTCATATGAAAAAAATGCTTCAAATCACTATTGATTAGAGAAATGCAACTCAAAACAACTCTGAGGTACCACATCACACCTATCAGATTGGCCAAGATGACAAAACAAGAAAATGATAAATGTTGGAGAAGATGTGGGAAAATTGGAACACTAATGCATTGTTGGTAGAGTTATGAAGTGATCCAACCATTTGGGAGAGCAATTTGGAACTATGCTCAAAGGGTTATAAAAATGTGCAATAGACTTTGACCCAGTAATAGCACTTCTAGGGCTGTATCCCAAAGAGATCATAAAAATGGGAAAAGGACCCACGTGAACAAAAATATTTATAGCAGCTCTTTCTGTGGTGGCAAAGAATTGGAAATTGAGGGGATGCCCATCAATTGGGGAATGGCTGAACAAGTTGTGGTATATGAATGTAATGGAATACTATTGTGCTATAAGAAATGATGAACAGGCAGACTTCAGAAAAACCTGGAAAGACTTGTATGGACTGGTGCTAAGTGAAGTGAGCAGAACCAGGTGAATATTGTACACAATAACAGCCACTTGTGGGATGACTAACTTTGATAAACTTAGCTCTTTTCAGCAATGCAAGGATCTAAAACATCTCCAAAAGTTTCATGATGGAAAGTGCTATCCACATCTAGATAAAGAACTATGGAGTTTGAATGCAGACAAAGAATACTATTTGTTCTTTTTTTTTCTTCTGTTTTGTTTTGTTTTCTCTTTCTTGTGGTTCCTCCTATTGGTTCTAATTCTTCCTTACAACATCACTAATGTGAAAATATGTTTAATAGGAATGTAAATGTAAAGCCTATATCAGATTGCATGCTATCTTGGGGAGGGAGGGAGGAAGTCAGGGGGAGAAAAAATTAAAACTCAAAAGCACATAGAAGTGATTGTTGAAAACTAAAAATAAATTAATAAAAACATAAAAAAATCCCCCCAAAACCCAATTACCTTCAGTAACTTTTCATTCTCTTTCCTTGCAGCCACAATCATGGCGCTGAATAGCGTGAGTGTCAACTGGACTTCCAGGATTCAGATATTTTTAACCCTTTGCAAGCTTATAGCCATTCTAATAATTATAGTCCTTGGAGTTATGCAACTAATTAAAGGTAGGCACTGGAAAGTAAATGCTTTTTGATGACTTATCTGCTTTTGTCTTCTCCCACCAAATTTGAGCTAGCACTAGCAGAATCTCTTAATGAGCTTCTGCTTGTGAAACTTAAGCTCTATACCACCACCTAATTGATTTGAGGTGTTACTACTTTGGGGGTGAGATGGTATTTATAGCTGTGTTCTATAACAAGAGGATGAAGCATGGACCCTGCATTGAAAATGAAGCCATACCAGATTGTCCCAGTGGAAAACGTTTTGAATGAAACTTTTCTAAGGCATCATAGAATTTTAGACCTAGAAGGATCTTTTGAAATGAGTTCATCTGGACCCCTCCCCCCCTTTAAATATATATTGTACATCTCATTTTATTTATTTATTTTAAAAGGCCTCCTCCTTTTAAAAATAGACCATTTTGTTTTCTCTTCTTTCTTTGAATATCTTTTGTTGGCATCATATATATCATCTTCCTGGTTCTGCTAAATTTGCTCTTCATCAGTTCACATTTTCCCCACATTTCTCTGAATTCCACATAACTGTCATTTCTCTGATGCAAAAATATCCCATTATATTCACATGTAGCACTTTGTTTAGCCATTTCCCAGCCAACCAGCAACTACTTTGTCCCCTCTTATTTTCTATCAAAACTTTTGCAGTAGGAATGGTAGCACCAATTTGTTTGCCACTTCTGGGTCTGCAAGAAGTGAAAAGGGGGTGGGGAATGTGTTGTGGGACACACATGTGGTGGCATGACAAGTTGTCTGAATTGGATATACTCTGGTTTCATGGCAGATGCCTAGATGGTCATGTGAAGCATGGTTTGAGCCATTTCCTGTTTAGTTTTACTAAATGCAAGGGCCTGCCCTATTATAGGATCCTGCTAACATAAGATCCTAATTAATACAATTCAATTCAACAAGTATTTGTTAAATCTCTACTATGTTTCATGTACTGTAATAGGCATTGAGGAGGCCATGTCTGGAGGCAGTGCAAAGACAGAAATGAGACAGTTCTTGCCTTCAAGGAATTTGTATTATACCTAGGAAACAACATGCATGCAGACATAAGTAAAAACAAATATATAAAGATAAATATTTATACCTAAATAAATATACGGCCAAGTTTTTTTTTTAATTTTTATTTTTGTTTTTTTGAGGGGTCATATAGAGAGAGCCACTAGCAGCTTGAGGGATCAGAAAGGGTGTCATGGAGGAATTATCCATTGAGCAGAGATTTGAAGGAAGCTAGAGATTCTACAGGGTAGAGGAAAAGCAGGAGTCTATTCCAAACATGAGGGACAAACTGTGCCGATGCACAGACACGGCTGAAGAATTGTGTGTGAGTAACAAGTTTGGCCAGATTATTGAGTATATGCAAGGGGACAATAACCAATAAGCCAGGAGAGGTAGGCCAGAGTTGGACTGAAGTGCTTAAAATGCTCACAAGAAATTTTATAGATTTATATACACACAGAGGTGGGTATCTTGGTTAACTTTGTTCAATTAAAAAATTCATTCAACAAACCTTTATTAAATTTCTACCACATGTAAGACACTGGAGATTCAAAATAAACACAAGTTAATGGTAATAATGATTATGGCTAACATTTATTTAGTGCTTACTCTATGCCAGGCACTGTGCTAAGCACTTTCATGAGCACAATCTCATCTGATCCTAACAACTACCCTAGGAGCTAGGTGCTATTATTATCCCCTTTCAACAGTCCCTCACTTCAAGGAACTTAAATTCTACTCTGAGGGAGAAGACAGAAGGGAAAGGGAAGAGAGGGAGGTGGCACACATTTAAAAATAAATCTATAATATGTTTAAAAAAGAATTTCCAGGGGTGGGGGGGAGAAGGTAATTAGTGATACTTTTTTCACTTTCAAACTTAATAATAAAATATAATATGTGCAAGAATTTTGCCATTGGGGGGAAAATATTGACTATCTGCTACTAGCTTTTCTCCATTCATCTGAGATCACCAGGTGTCATAAGACCTAGGTTCAAATCCTGCCTCTGACTTTTGCTATCTGTATTACCTTGGACAAGTCATTGAATTTCTGTAGACCTCAGTTACCTCATCTGCAAAATAAGGTCATTGTATTAGATCAGTGGGTCAACTTAAAATAGAAACAGGCCACTAGACAAAAACCAAACCTAGAAGATCACTGTAGGACTCATTGACTTAGAAAGCTACATGTTTACATTATGTTCTATTGTATTTTTATTTATTTTGTTAAATATTTCCCAGTTACATTTTAATCTGGTTCTGGCTGTACTCAGGAGTGTTTCTGGGTCTTGTGTGTTTATGAAACCTTGTGGTCAATTCCAATTTGGCAATCTTGTCCTAGCATGGGGTGATGGGGTTGGGGTATGTTTTTTTTTTTTTGTTGTTGTTTTGTTTTGTTTTTAGGCAATTGGGGTTAAGTGACTTGCCAAGAGTCACATAGCTAGTAAGTGTCAAGTGTTTCGTCTGAGGCCGGATTTGAACTCAGGTCCTCCTGACTTCAGGGCTGGTGCTCTATCTACTGATACCTAACTGCCTCTGGGGTATGTTTTTGCCAGGTTAATTTATAGTGTCAACAAGTATCATAGGAGCATAGACGTAGAGATGGAAGGGATTCCAGAATTCATCCATTATAGTCTCCTTAATTTTACAGATGAGGAAAATGAGGCCCAGAGAGATTAAATATTGTATTTTGCAATGCAAAACCGGTAGTAGGTCATAGAAGTGAAACTCATACCCAAGTCTTAGGATTTACCTTCAAAGCTCCTTCCACTGCACTGTTACTTCATTCAATATACTCAAGTAGGGTGAAATACTTAACCCAGGTGCTTTGAGAACTACTGCTTAGAAATACTACTTTTTTTTAACGTTCTTAAAAAACATGAAATGTTTATGCTTGACTCATAATTGAGCAATATTTTCTTTTCTTTTTTCCCCACTTAATGGTATTTTATTTTTTCCAATTACAGATAAAGATAGTTTTCAGCATTCACTTTTATAAGATTTTGAATTCCATGTTTTTCTCCCTTCCCCCTCCCCAAGACAGCAAGCAATCTGAATAGGCTATACACATACAATCATATTCAACCTATTTCCACATTAGTCATGTTGTGAAAGAAGAATCAGAACAAAAAGGGAAAAACCATGAGAAAGAAAAACAAAAACAAAACAAAGAGAGAAAACAATATGATTTGATCTGCACTCAGTCTCCATAGTTCTTTCTCTGGATGCGGATAGCATTTTCCATCATGAGTCTTTTAGAATTGTCTTAAATCATTGCGTTGCTGAGAAGAACTGAGTCTATCAAAGTTAGTCATCACACAGTGTTGCTGTTACTGTGTACAATGTTCTCCTGATTTTGCTCACTTCACTGAGTAATATTTTCAGTGTTAGCGTTGTTCTGGGCCTATGATCTTCATTAGTTTCGAGAACTCTGGTGTTGTTTGGAAACTCCCTCTAACTCTAAGAATCTAACTATATTCAAACTATAACTTATTCTATATTCTATCATTCTATAGTCTAACTATAATTTATAGTCCTTGACAGCTGCCTGAATCCCTGGGAGGTTAAGTCAACTTGTTCATGGCTCATAGACCTAAGGTCAAGACTTGAGGGCAAAGCTTCCTGACTCCTCCAAGGCTGGCCTTCTCTTTGCCTATTATGCCAAACTACCTCTCCAAAAAGTTTTTGTTGTTGTTGTTATTTAATAATCCATACAGTTATTTATTTTCATTTGGTTTTCTAGGTCAAACCCAGCACTTTAGAGATGCCTTTTCAGGAAATGATGCCAGTATTGTAAGATTACCATTGGCTTTTTATTATGGAATGTATGCATATGCGGGCTGGTAAGCTGATTTCTCTGTTTTGTAGCTTGATTCAGTGTGTGTATTTGTTCCTAAAGATTTTATTTATTTATTTTATTTTTTTGAAGGCAATTGGGGTTAAGTGGCTTACCCAGTGTCATACAGCTAAGGAGTGTCTGAGGCTGGATTTGAACTCAGGTCCTCCTGACTGCAGGGCCCTATCTTTGCTCTATCTGTTGTGATGCCTAGTTGTTCCTGTATGTTGTTCTTTATTTGGAATGAAGTAGTGCAGAGTGGGAGCCAGGGATACCGCTTCCCTCAGACTGTGACCCCTCTCTACCCTCGTACCCAAACGATATACCTGAGATTAAACAACAATGTGGTTTAGTTTTGAGTAAATGCCACTTTTCTAAGACTGGGAATGCATTAGATCAAGTGCAAATATTTATTAAGTACCCATTCTTTGCAGAGCACTGTGCGAGGGGGGAGAATAAAACATTTAAAGAAGTCATCATTCCTGTCTTTAAAGAGCTTATTTTCTAGTAGAAGTGTAATATACAATATTACATGCTAAGTGGATTAGAAAATTAGAACAAAGTACTATAGTAGGAAGACCTAACTTTAGGAAGAAATTTCTTGAAGAAGGTGACATTTGAGTTAGAAAAGAATTCTACAGGAGAAGATGGGAAGGTGGACCCTTCAGGGATAGGGTCAATGGGAACAATGGTATGAAGACTTGGAGAAAAGGAGCAACAGCAGTGACAGCCAGAAATAATGGGAACACCTTAGTGTGCATTAAAGCCCTGTCTTTAAATGTTGAGACAAGACGGGGCAGAGAGGAGCAAACAGTTCCTCCAGCAATGCCAACAACCTCTGATTTTGTTGGTGGGATGCAGATCACATAGAGTCTTACCAAGCTCTCTGAGGCTCAGGAAGGTTCTGAGTAGTGGCTTGGGGTGACTCAGGTAGCAAGTATCAGAGATAGGGTTTGATCTCAGACTTTCCTGACTTGAAGTCTAGTATGCTGCCTGCGACTATTCTTAATAGATATTAATACCTTGCTTATCAAAAATATCTTTTATCTGAACTTCTCAAGAGTCGTTTATACTGATTAATTCTCTTCATGTTCCCATGAGAAAGGGAAATATTTCAGATTAAGAAATCAGTCAGAGACTCCCAAGAGGTAAGATGACATTCAAAGACAGGGACTGGAAACCAAGATAATAAGCTCAGTCTTTTAGGACAGACCAATTCTATTTCAAAGTACCTGAACAAGTTTCTTAAATTTCTTAAATATCTGGAAATAGAAATATGTACAAAAACTGATTAGAGGCTTTATTTATCATAGAAATGTTGCCTTTTAAGCACTGTCCATGAGGATAACATGTGGCTGATGACATGGGACTTTGTATTTATTACTTTATTAGCAGAGCTGAATAACAAGTATCCCAGATAAAATCCCTTTCTTCCTGCCCCCTATCTATTTTCCTGCAATAGGACTAAATAGGACAAATGATCGTGTGTATTTCTAGGACTATACCAGGTGAGCCCAACAGATTACATAAATGACTGTAAACATAAAAGCCGTTATGGTCAATTCCCAAGTGAGCTGGATGGACTTTGACCATGGCAAAAAATTTTACACTGTTTGGTTTCCCCTTGCCCCAAACTTCCTACTGAGCTGCCTGTCTCCATTGGCATTTGATGTGTCCAAATTAATTTTTAATATTTGACATTGAGACTTTTTTGTTTGTTTGTTTCATAGGACCTTAGAGGTGAGACAATCTCACCTCCCGCCTAGCAGGAATATCTTTTAATCAACAATCACCAGTGTTTGCTTGAACACTTCTAGTGACAGGGTGCTCACTACTCTTGCCATTGTTAACTTGAAGAGTTATGCAGTATGATTAGCCAATAATTATCCACAAGCTATATGTCCTGAGAAAAATATGCATAATGCATTCCAAAATCATCGAAATGTATATATGTGTATGTACATACACACACTTTTTTTAATGGTTTTTGGTTACATCCATTTGAATAAGATTCAGTTAACTTCAATTCAACAAACAATTAGTTCCTTCAATGGACAAGGCACGGTACTAGGCACTGAGGATATAAGAAAAAGATGAAAGAGTCTTTGCCCCCAAGAAACTTGCATTCTGCTGCGGGTGGACGGAGATATAACAGGTGTGTAGGTAGTAATAATAACTGCCATTTTTATAATGTGTCAAAATTTGTGGAGTACTTTTCGTAGGTAGGATTGTGGATAGCTGGAAAGGACCTAAAGTGCATCCAGGCTAATCTCTTCATTTTATCAGTGCAGAAACTGACGCCAAGAGAGATTGTGACTTATCCAAGGTCCTACAGGGAGTAGTAGAAGTGAAATTTGAATCCAGGTCCCCTGACTCCAAATCTAGCGCCTCTTTCCACCCTTTCCTGAGGGGGTACCACACTGTCCTCTCAGGAGCTGACTGGACAAATAAATGGAAAGTATAACACAGATCTCATGGAAATATGAAAATCATATGTTCTAGGAATAAAATAAAGAAATACAGTACATAATCACTCACTGATGTGGAGTATTTGGGATAGGGAGATTTTGTGGTGGTGGGGAGGGGTGATGTGCATGTTTGTGTGTGGGGGGTAGGGGCTGAGAACTGAGAGGAGGGCAGAACACAGGCCATCTAGCTGAAATTAGGCATAGGGGAAAAAAACAAACAAACCATGAATCTTGTGGTCAGGAGATCTGGTTTTGAAACCCAGCTCTTTTCTGTATCAGGGTTAATGATGGGAATGGTAGTGATGCTAGCTCACTGTAAGACTCTGGGTTAGTTACTTCCTTTCTTTGTGTCTCAATTTCCCACTTTGCAAAATGCAAGGGCTAGAGTAGGAGAATCCTTAAGTTTCCTTCTCACTTTAATAGCTGACTCCAGTGGCCCTAGGAATGCCTTTTGGAATTCATAGCTAGTTGCTAAAATTTTTAATCCTCCCTAGGCAAAAGGCACTGAAAGAAAGCTTTCCTTGCTTAATCAGGGTTTGCATTGAGAAGGTCTCCTAATAGAAGTACTACAGTATATTGGAAGAATACTGTCAAGCTGCCAGGGCATTAGTGTGATATGTTTGCTTGTATATTCTGAGGGTGTTTTTTTCATTGCTATTCAAGTGTGCGCATTAACCTTGAAGCAATCTCCTTTCTTGACACATTCTCATGTCACCTGCAACGTTCTAAGAAATCCTGTCTCATTGCTCTAACTTTCAGGCTTTACATTCTTGCGCAATGCCTCAAGAGTGTCTGAATGTTTGACTTCCATGATGATTAAACAGAAATTCCTCATTTTTTTTTCTTTTTACTTCTTGGATAGGGTACATCTGAAGTCATAGTTCTGTAGGTGTAGAACTGGTAGGAAAGCTATCTTATCCAATCCCCCTATTTTATAGATGACAAAACTGAGACCCAGATTCTTTATCAAATTCATACAAGTAATTTAGGAGCAAGAGTTGGGATTTGAATCCAGGTCATAATTACTCCAGATTCATGGGAAGTGGAGTTTACTTGGTGAGGGTAGTTTATACAAGAATGGAAATGTTCAAAATGGTAGTCTCTACCTGAATATTGAAGATATAGATCAGACTGTGTGGATTTATGAATATTTTGGCAAAGTAGTAACAAGCACAACAATAGCAGACGTTACTAGAGAACTTTAAGGTTTGCAAAGAGGTTTATCTACATTTCATTTAGGACATTAGTCTAATCCCTTCTTTTTGCATCTCAGGCAACTGAGGTACAGAGAAGTTAAGATATTCACCCAGGTTCACAGAGCTAGTAAATATCGGGCAGTATTTGAACTCAGGTGTTCCTCACTCCATACCTAGCACTCTTTCCATTGGGCCACCTAGCTGCCTCTAAGAATCAGCCCCACTCTGATCTTGCCTGGGTTGGATATTATACTGAGCTCTGAGACTCCAAAGTCTTAGATTGGTGTCATTATTAGAATTCTCAACCTTTTAAAGAATTTTCCTACTAGTCTTTTTCCTCCTTTCTTCTAGGTGCAGAGGTACTAATTTCTAGTGAAGGCTCTTGGAAGATACTTTTTAGATAGAACCTTAAATATTTTCCCTTGGGCTTTAGGAATAAGTGTCCCTTACTGCCAGTTACTACCTGTGTGAGTTGGTCTCAACCTCCCTGGGCCTCAGTAACCTGTTCTGTAAAAGGATGGTTGATTGTTGTTCTTCCATACTCAAAGAGGACCAAAATGACATCATGTTGACGGGGTCAGTATACAGTGTGTCTGATTATGGCTGCCCAGACCAATATGAGCTCAGGTTCTACCATAGCTCAGTTACAAATAGCCCATATGAACATTTGAGTGGAAATGCCTCCAAATTGGTGCATCTCAAAAAGGATAGGTTTGAATTAGATGGTAACCAAGGCCCATTCCAGCTCTATATCTATGATCCTTTGATCCTTAGTCAGCCTTCCTAATCCTAGACACCTTGACTGTCAATGAAGCCTAAGACTACAGTAGTTTTCTTGGCTACAATAATCCATAATTAACTCATTGAACTTGCTGTCCACTAAAACCTCCACATATTTTTCAAGCAAATATATCTGGTCAAGCTAATCCTATCTTATACTTGCAAAGTTGATCTTTTGAACTCAAGTGTAAAACTTGAACTTTGAACTCAAGTGTAAATTCTTTTCAGATTTTGGCTTAGTTTCAGCCCAATGTTTCTCTGTGTCCATCTGGATTCCCCTAACTTGTTGATACATAGGATATAATACTGCACTGGCAGAATTGAGGCAGACTAGCCCATGCCTCTGTGTGGCCTTCAGTAATTGAGAAAGAAAGACATGTACAAACCAGATCAGAGAGGAAGTCCTTGCTTTATGAAATCAGAAAGTAAAGTTGTATGAAATAAGGAACTGGATGATAAATTAGAGGATTGAGCAAAGACATATCACTTGGAATAATCCATTCTTCAAGTTTTGGAATAAATTAGAAATGGGGCTAGAATTTAGAAGCTTTAGTTGAAAGATGATGATGATGATGATGATGATAAACTAGCTTAAGGAAAGGTTTATTAAAAAAACAAAAACAAAAAAAAACTGAGCCAGGGAATTGGGGGACCAGATAGTTATTAGAGCATTGAAATTCATAGATGGTTTTATAGTATTTCATGCTAGTCTTCCCATTTTTTTCTGAGTTCTTCATATTCCTCAAGAAAGTCATTTTCAAAAAAGAACAAAAGTGCAATAGGACCTGGCTACTTTTAAACCATGTGAAATCTAGAAATATTGCTTCTCCTTTCCCCTACTTTTTCCGCTCTGGACCATAACCATTGTATCACGTCCTTCAGAGTACATATCCCATGTAGAAGTATTCATCACACCTTGCTTTCCTTATCTGGCCAGAGCTACAGTTTCTGAAACTTGCGTTTTAGTCATTGAAATGAACACATGCGACTTTGGGCACTAACTTTTTAAATGGACTCATTGTCACTTTTGACTCACCAATTCAATGTCCTTCCATCAAAGTCATTTCTCCAAGCAGAGCTTGCCAAATATTCAGCCCTTGAGTCTTGAACACTGCTTGCTTGTTGCAAAATCAAGTCCGACATTTAACTGAGATGGAGCGAGACAAGTTTGACGATTTTTGTCCTAGGTTAATGGAAGGCTTTAAGTACATTGAACCTCACAAGCAGAAATTCAAGACATTTTCATCTCAGATACTCAGAGTTTGTAGCCACATTCATTCACCCAGTTAATGGTTATTTCATCTTGTCAAGCCCTTGGTTGCAATGAATTGCAATGAGCAAAATAGTATGTACAGAAAAGGTGACTTTAAATACATTTTCGAAGTAAGTCTTAATCCGCATAGTAACCATGGCACTGTTTTTTAGTGAGGCTTAAATGATAATGCTTTGTCTTCAATTTAATCCAATTCAAATAAATTTCATTCCACCAGCATTTATTTATTTTTTTTCCTTTTTAGGCAATTGGGGTTAAGTGACTTGCCCAGGGTCACACAGCTAGTAAGTGTCAAGTGTTTGGTCTGAGGCGAGATTTGAACTCAGGTCCTCCTGACTTCAGGGCCAGTGCTCTATCCACTGTACCACCTAGCTGCCCCACCTCTACCAGCATTTATTAAGCAACTTCTCTCCACTAGGGGCTGTATGAGGTGCTGGGATACCGAGACAAATACAAAGAGAAAAATGAAATAGTCCTTGCCCTCAAGGAGATTAAGTTCTACTAGAGGAGTTTATGTTTACTTTGTAGACTTTAAATTGCTATATAAATATCATTAGTTGTTGTTCTTTCCTACTCATTGAATTCTTCTCTGATAGGTTTTATCTCAACTTTGTTACTGAAGAAGTAGAAAATCCTGAGCGGTAAGTACCAATATATATATTTTACTTTTGTTTTAAAACATTTATTAAAGCTAACATGCCAGCTTAGAGTACAGACAATTCTGTGCGCTGTTTATCTCTCTATCCTTTCACCCCCCAAAATAAATGAGATCTATTTGAATTCTGCCTAAGACATCTGTTATTTTTAGAATAAAGTAACCTCATTGTGTATTCTACTTTCCTGACTGGTTCTAGAAGTAGAAAATCCAAATGGACAGAGGCCCATCTTATGTAGCTAAACACTTGACCAATGGCTTCTATGTGTACAATATTATGTTTATTTGTGGATTCCCCTACCACCAAAATAACCTAGTATGCAAAGAGAGTTCCTATAGATAGTGGTTTTAATTATTCAGAGTCTTTATGGAAAATCTTTTTCAGGGACTGGGGTCATTATAATGAGTAATTTGTATATGAGAACATAGAACTCCCTCCTCTCCCACTTCAAGATGGGATTTTCTATGTATACAAACATAATACATATGTATATGTGTGTATGTGTATACACATGTATGTTTATCTGTATGTATGTATATATATATGTGGGTATATATATACACACACACATAAATGTATATAGTACAAATGGGAGGTAACTTCAGAGGGAAGATACTAGCAAGGGACAGGAAATGACCATTAAAGGCCTTTTGAAGAAAGTGGGATTTGAGCTGAATCTTGAAAAAAAATCAGAGAAGCCAGGAGGCTTTGATGAGGAGGAAGAACATTCTAGGCATAGAAGACAACCAGTGAAAAGACACGGGATGTCTTCTGCTAGGAACATCGAAAAAGTAAATGTCACCAGATTGTAGAATACACGGAGAGGAATAAAGTATAAGAAAATTGGCAAGCTAGGAAGGAGCCAAATTGCAAAGGCCTTTAATAGTCAAAAAAACCTTTTTATATTTGGTCCTGGAGGTAAGAGGCAAAGAGCTACTGGAGTTCACTGAGTAGGGGAATAATATGGTCAGTCCTGTGCTTTTGGCCACCTGATTGGAGAATAAAATGAAGTGGGGATGGACCTGCGGCAGAGAGATGGATCAGAAGGCTATTCTAATAGTCTAGGTGTGAAGTGATGAGGGCCTACAGCAGGATGGAAGCTGTGTGAGTTGAGAAGAGGCAAGGAGGTGATGTGTGTGGGAAATGTTATGCAATTAGAGACGAAACGACTTGGCAACAAATGAATATGTGGAGTGAGTGGGAGCCACCTGCGGAGGATGACAACAATTTTGGGAGCCTGGGTGACTGGAAGAGGGCAGGGCCTTCGACAGCAATAGGAAAATTTGAAAGAGGGAAGGATTTGTTTGGACATGTCGAGTTTAAGCTTCATCTAATGGAAATTTTTTACAGCATTGTTGAGATTTTACGTTGTTAGCTAGATCATAATTAGATGATAATCACCTTGTCAGACTGCATTTGGAATCCTATATTCAGTTTGGACTGTGCTACACACTGATCAGTTGGAGAAATAGGACATGTTTAGCTGAGAGACGAGAAGCCTTAGGGTTCGTAAGGAAGCTATGTTTAGGTTTCTGAAGGGTTGTCAACTGGAAAAAAGGATTAGATGGTCTGCTTGGCTTTGTAAAGCAGAATTAGAATCAATTAGTGGAATGGTAATAATAACTCATATTTCTTATAGGATTTTATGATTTGCTAAACACTTTCTTAAAATAACCCTATGAGGTATTATTAACCACTTCTGTCTCCATTTTACAAATGAGATAGCTGAAACTCAGATGAAGTGATGGACCTGGGATCACACAGTAAATAGCAAAGGTAGGAACCAAATCCAGTAACTGGTGGTAGATGACGAGAAAGAGGATTGTGGATAAAGCACTGGGCCTGGAATCAGGAAGACTTGAGTTCAAATATGGCCTCAGAGATTTATTAGTTGTGTGACTCTGGATGAGTTACTTAGCCTCTGCCTACCTCAGTTTTCCTTACATGTAAAATGGGACTAAAATCCATCCCTAAAATGCCCCTACCTCCCAGGGTTGTAGTAAGGATCAAATGAGATATTTGTAAAAGTTCTTATATCATTGCTTCCTTATCTCCTAGGTCCAGTATTCTCTCTATTACACTATGGTGGCTCAATGGAAATTGAAGACAGCTAGATTTAGGTTCAATAAAAAGAACTTCCTAACAGCTAAGGCTATCCAAAAAAAAAAAAAAAAAAAAGAAAAGAAACTTCCTTGGGCAGTGTTAGTGTTACTTTCACTAGAAGTCTTTGAGTAAAGGTTGGGTGACCACTTTTTGGTCATTTTGTTGAGTAGATCCTTGTTCAAATATTTTTTGGATTAGATGGCTCCTGAGGTCTTATCCATATCTGAGATTCAGTGAAAAGCTGAATCAAAAACTTGAGTGCCTATGGTTTCTCAATCCAAATTAGGCAAATTATGCAATTTTGACATGTTGGATTGTCAGACAGTAAAGAAATTTGGCAAAGGACAGTTTACCAATGTTTTCAAACAACTCGACCTATAGCACTTGGTTTGTACTAAAAATTTTACATGGTCTAAACTAACTTTCATTCAGATCTATTGATTTTTGAAGACCAGGGCATAGTGGCTGGAGAGTTGATGAAAGGATATGGCTTTCTTGATAGTTTGATGGATCTGTTGCTTTGAATGGGGTAGAAAAGAATTCTTCACCTCTTGACAGCATCACTAACTTCCCTTCTTCTTTAGTATCTCTGGGAAGCGGCAAACTACTTTAAAAAATTTTAAAACAAATCTTTTAATTCATCAGTCCACTTGAGTTTCACATAGATTAGTCAGCTGGTCATTCCTTAGAGGCCTAAATTATCATAGTTTTAATGACAACATAGTTAAGGGATTGCTTTTAAATGATTACTTCAAACCATTTCAACTAGTCATTTTTTAAATATTAGAAGTACGAAACACCAATACACCTTATCTTATAGCTATATTGTTATTATTATTATTATTATTTTTTATTTTTCAAATACATGACCCAAAAATTGCAATATATAATATGCGGAAACAAATGGAAATATTTTTTCCTGTATTGCCCTCACCCAGTGGTCCATTAACAATACCTAATATTTTATAGCATTTTACAGATACAAAGTACCTTTTACATAATCTGATTTGATCCCCACAACCAATCTGATGAAATAGGTCGCATAAATATTCTTATCTTCATTTTACAAGGAAGAAACTGAGCCCTTGAGTTATGGTGCTTACCCAAAGTCACACTAAATAATGGAGCCAGAAATCTTTGGTCTTTTTCCAGTGGTATACTTAAGATTGAGTGACAACCACTCAGTTAGTTCTTGGTTGTAGACACACAAATCTCTGGCTCCTTAGATGCATTCTTGTATTTATTATATATTCTTGTATGTATTGTATTTATTGTACAAATTATCATATATATCCAAGTCATGAGAACAACTCAACCAGAAGACGTGGATAATGCTATAAATTCCACATTGTCTGAACTGACTTCCATTTACATCTATATAGATTTGAAATATGTGGGCATAGTGCTACCTTCAATGAAGTAAATGTGTGAGTGGGCTGATAGATTCATGATTTATGGGTATGGTAGAAAAGACAGATTCACCTACTGCTTTTGGTAAGAAGTATTGTAACATGCTATAAGGTTGTAGAAATAACTAAATTTTGAAAGTACCAAGTGCTGATTTGGAGTATGAAAAGACTCTGGGAGAGTAGTTAATTCTTTGAAAGCCCTTGTGTCCTAGGAACTGTTAGTTTGAATGAAATGATGTATGCAAAGTGCTTTGCTAATCTTAAAGTGCTATGCAAACTTATTATTATTATTAAAATTATTATTATTATTATTGTCTTCTGCTAGTGTAGGTGTGTACAGAATGGTCTAGATTCAGTTAATGGTATTTTGTGATGGAAGATATCGAAAAGAACATCTTGTCCAGTCCCTCACTCCATTATTTTATAGATGAATCAACTGAGCCCTAGAAAAGTGAAATAATTCTCCCAAACTAACACTGGTAGTAGAGAGCAAGGCCAAAATTTTAGCCCAGGTCTGCTGGCTATAACCAGTGTTCTTTCCATTATAATACTCTATTTCTTCAGTTCAATGCTTTAAGGATTGATAATTTTATCTGTGTTTGTATTCCTTTTACCAACAGTGAGCAGATGCATTTTGAGAATTGTTTTGATGAAAAATTCACCACCTCTGAGACCAAGGTGGCGATGAAACCCTTTAAACTTAGCAAGACTGGTTCTCAGACAAGAAATAGTCTATCACCTATCATGGATGTGAAGTCTGTCAAAATGAGTAGATTAGTTAGATGTTGTTCTCTTTGAATATTCTTTGACAAGTCAGGATAACGCCATGCTACTATGAGGCAATGAAGTAAGGTTAAATAGGTCATTTTTCTCATTGTCGTTAGGGTACCTGTTTTGCTCAGAATAGTACTTCCAATGACCCGGGATAACCAAATACTAGAGAGGCATTGGGACAATGGTAACTAAGGAGCAAGTTTGTCATTACTTCTATAGCAAAGTGTATAATCTGAACAATAGCATTTTTCAAACTCTCTTCTCCTAATAAATTCTTGGGTTCTTTAAGCTTTTGAAAAGAACAGAAATTTTTTTAACTTATATTGGCATGAATTATTTTTCAAACTTCCAGTGCTAATTATAATTCCTATTCTTCCCCTCCCTCCTTTTTATGATTGTTTTTATAGTTACTTAAAAAAATAACCTTAAAAGGTCAACTTTTTTCTGTGCAGGAATCCTTGAGTAGTGGAATTGCACTCAGCTTTCCTTATAAACATTTAAAAAATTTGTATATTATTCAAAAGGCATATGGACTTCTTGTAAAGTGATTTCTATCCTTTTAAGGTGAGATTATACATTGTCCAAGATAATGGGAACCTACACGTGATAAACACAATTAGGTATTGTGGCAGGCTGGTTCTCTTGTAGCTTAGTTCCAATATTAGAACAAAATGAGACACTCATAGGTCATTCAACATT